GCTCTGAACATCTTCCCTACATCTCCTTTTGCTGTGTCAAAAAAAAAAAAAAAAAAAAAAAAAAAAAAAAAAAAAAAAAGCAAAGAAGGACTTCAAAGTGCTTTGAGATATTTTTCTTCTCTTTCCCATGAGTTCACTATAGTTCTGATAAGTATTTGCCTCTCCCAAAAAATGGTTTGAGGGGACATATATTACCAGTCTCTGTGGTTAGTTCACTTTGTTAGCCTCACAACAACTCGGTTCTTACTCTCAGCAGTCCAACCTGACTTACAGTAACAGCTTTCCAGAATCTGATTACTGAAAGCAGATCGCCAGGGGATCAGAGCTACAGGCTTTAAGGGTATTTGTCTTATTATCCCAGTGACACTGAGCAGACCCTTTCCTTTAGTGAGATCTGCATTGGGGTCAGATCTGGAGGATGCTGTCTAAGCTGGGCTGAGGTCACCTGAGGTAAAAATTATGGGAGTTCTAAATCTGCAGGCAAAACGGCACAGCAGGAAGCAAGCTGCTGAGCAGGAATGGCTGCGGGTGCACAGAAGTGGGAAGGACTTGTGCTTGCAGCATGCAGTATATTGCAGATTCTCTAGCAATTTGTATCTGCCTCAAAGCCTTTTTGAGTGAGGAATGGTCTTTGGTAATTTAAAAAAAATAATTATCTCTCTGTGAAATGGTCATTTGGAAGAAACATGGAAGTTTCTATGTACAATTATGTCAGCTGATGTTAGCAAAGAGATCATATTTCTCTCTTCTTCTATGTGCTCTCTTAGCAAATGTATATATGATTTTTTTTTTCAGGGTGAGTATGGAAATCTGTTAGATAACATGTTTTCACTAGATAGATGCAGGTTACACTGCTCAGGAGATAAACATTCCTCTTCAGCTGTAAATGGCTATAATGCTGGCTGGGTGGGGGGGCATAATTTTATATTCAGATGTACCTGTGTTCTTGTAAAATGACCTTTCCTCTCCTGTAATACAAGTAGACAGATTTGTGCCTGAACTGAGTTGCTGAATATTTAAGTTCAAAACAGAGTCCATAAAAAAACCCAGTTCACACCCTCCAGTTCCCATATGTGATTGTCCCATATTGCCCTCCACCTGCCTGGAGCTCTGCCTGCTGGTGCAAAAAGGCTGCTCTCTTCTGCAGGCCCTCAGAAGGGAGAGTGATGAGCAAATTTCAGCAGGGCCTCTTCCTTGCAGCAGCTGGGGTTGCACAGGATGGATGAGGCTATGGCAGCCAGCTGAATTGAGGCCGGGCCAGCGCTTGAGGGGAGCATCCTCGTGTGGACCTGGATCTCCTTGTCTTGTGCTGAAACTGAGCCACCTCTGAGGTGGGACAGGGGAAATCATTTAACGGTGCATAACATTATTTCTAAGTTTAGAGGAGACAGGTACTCTATGCAATTGAAAGTTCATTTAGGTAGAGAGAATGTAATTACCCGGCACAGTTAGAGGAGCAAAGCTATTATGAATCTCTGATGAAAGCTGTCATCAGTTGTTTCATGGCCAACAAGTGACTAGAATTTTTGTTTCATATTTCATACTAGAAGAGCACATTCAGCAGCCCCAGTGACCCCTAAATTCAGTGCAGGGACACTCAGCAATTAAGGACACGGGCAGATGTTCTACTAGCTGAACTATGATCATTGCTTCTTGCAGCATTTTAGTATGTAGCACCCAAACAGCAACAAGTTGTTACTTACTTCGTGTGGGCAACCTACTTTTGTAACAGTACAGACAAAGGAATATCTTTGAAATACTGTCAGTATTTAAAAATTAAGTACATTCTATGCAGCAAACATAATGCTTGAAAATAACTTCTTGGTGTAAGGACATGACACCAGAGTGAACCTGGCAAAGAAATTGCATCAAAGAAGTTTACATTTCAAATAGCGTGAAAACAATCCACCCCTCTTTTTGCCCCTTCTTCTCTATTAGAAAAGCCCCTCTCAAGCAGCACAAACTGTGTGTTTGTTTCTCTGTCTCCTGCCCAAGAACTGTGTGTGCCTGCCAGGAGGGAGGGTGATCCTTATCAACATGTGCTGAGCTCATATGCCTCTCAACACAATCACACTTTTCAATTTATTGCAGACGGACATGATTGTCCCAGGCTGACGTGTGCACTGAGAGAAACCCATCCAGCTGACCAGAGGAACCAAAGGTTCAGTTCATCTTCCTTCCTTGAAGTCCCTCTAGCTTTTCAGAGTTATTCTTCATTGGCAGAGACATTGAGGAATAACTGTAATGCCAACAGCTGTCATTGCCAGGTGGGAATTGTGCTGGAGTGCAGCAATTCCAGCACACACCTTAGGCACCTGCTGCAACACTGGAAACAACTCACATGTGACAGGATCAAACCATATAATAATCCAGTCAATTCTTTGTCATTTTACAACTTGGTGCCATCTGGAGCATGGAATTAAGAGAGCCTAACCCAAAAAGAAATCTACAGTAAATGTTGAGGTTGCAAAAGGAAATGAAAACTTAAAGTAAAACAAAAGACTAAAGCTCCTACAGGGGGAAATGAGACAGCAAATATCCGCAAAGAGGGGAAGCTGCTAAGTCCAAACATCAGTGCTGGAAATGAGATCAGATCAAGCTGATCCCTAATCAGTCACTGACAGGAACAAACAGGTATACAAATGAGTTGAAGGGAAAAACGAGGATTTATGAAGTATTTTTGGCAAGTCTGGGAAAATAAGAGTTATTCCATTTGGCAAATGTAATCTAAAGATTTCTTCGCTTTTCTCTGTTGAGTGACCAGGGAAGATGGAAGGCTACAGAGACTGCCTGAATAGGAACCATGAAAAATAGAATTGCTATCAAGTCCAACACTTGCCGTGAAAATAAAAGTCAGTTTTAAGGCACATCAATCATTTTATTTCCACTCGCATCTCTAAAGAACGCTAAGGAGATAGAAGTGGTGGAGATCTTTTGAAGATCTTGAGTTTACAGGTTGGACAAGCAGAAGTGACTTCTTCCTTCTTAGTCTCCTTATTCCTCTTAGCTTCTTTTAAAAATTGTGGCAGGATAAACAAAATGTAATTTATACAAGGCCAGAAACCCCTATACTATAAGAAATAAGATTTGGAGTGCAAGGTATGCATGCTTTGAGTTCAACTTACTGTTTTTATATCACTTCTAGAGTGCAATTGCTCTTTAATTAATTATGAGATTTCAGAACTTTTTGGAACACCAGTGACCTGGAATAACTTTTAGATATCTCGCAATTATTGTCAATTTCCAACTGGAAGAAAAATATATCAAAAACCATCTCTTTTATTTTTCAATGATTATAAAAACTTTTAGAACAGAATGAACATAATTTTGTCAGTGCTTTGAAAATAGGTTACTTGCATCCTGTGACACTCACTCTTTTGATGAAGACATTTATATTTACCAACTTTATTCTTGTCAAGTCATGCTTTTCTCTGATATTGCTTTGAGGTAGAGAGAGAAAGAAGTAAAATGATGATTTGATATCACTTTGGTGAACTATCATAGATCAGAAGATAAACAGTAACTCATAAATACCATGATTTTTTAATAGTTTCAGAACTGAAATATCTTTCTGTCTCTGCTCCAGACTTGATTCTGAAAATTAATTACTTTTAATTCTTATTAATTTTATGAAATATCAACAAAGCCATAGCTAGCTAAAGCTGCAAGAAGTGCGCAATTTAAGATATTTTCCAAAATTTTCATAGGAAGATGCTTCCTAATATGTTCTGGAGACCTCTGGCATCCCTAGAATAAGCCCTACGAGGCTTGATCCAAATCTCATGGAATTCAGTGTCAATCTGTCCACTGGCTTCAGCTGTTGAGAGAATTGGGTTAGAGCCTGTGTCTGAAACAACTGGAGGCCTGTGGTGTTTGAATGTTGGATGTTTCAGAGAAGAACTGACAAACAACCTTGCTGTCAAGCTTTTCCTTAGGGGACCTCTGTCTTCAGAGCATCACTGATTTACCAAATAGACCTGGGAGGTGCATAATAGTCACATAAACAAGGGTGAAGGAAGATGGTTTAATTTGTAATACTAGCATGTGTAAAGGACACAGTCAGTTTTAAAAGAGAAAATGCAGGGAACTTGAAGAAGGCTTTCATTAAACAGTATTAACAGTGAAGTTGCATCGTATTTCACAAACAGACACTAAATGGTGGGGGTTTTTTATCAGCTGAGGGCAAGAACTTAATGTGTGGTTTACAAATGCTACTTTTGATACTGGCAGTGATATGAGATGATCTGAAGAGCTGCAGGTGACCATGTCCTGGATTACTGATGTACAATAACACAACTGTTTCACTGCCAAGTTGTGCAGGTAAGGTGTTTTTAGTCTTGTCCTCACTGCTTTTCAAATATTGCTCCATTTTGCTGATACGTTTGAGTGTGGTTCAGCCTTTCTCAGTTTTAATCTTCATCTTCTCAGGAGTTTGTTTTGAGTTGGTTTTGTCTTTCTGGTTTGTTTTGTGGGGGATCCCTGCTAGGTTTTTGTTTGTTTCTTCAAATAACCATATAACAGTACCTTTACCATCGCAGACTGAAAGGCCTGGTTTTATGTAATCACTCATTTTCCTCAAACATCTTCTGGAAGTGTTAAGTGCACTGCCACACTCATTCAAACCTGGGCATAGTAGTTAGGTTGCATAATGCACTTCTCTAAATCAGCTTGAGCAGATGGGAAGGAAAATAGCTTGAGCTAGCACATCACAACTCCCCTTGTGCACTTTTCAGATGGCGGTGAAAGTGCCGCCTGGCAATGCCCTACTGTCTTTATTTTGTCCTCTTGAATGATAGAGACAGTCTAACCTGAACAAGAATTATTTCCCCCATCTTTTCTTCTCCTCCCAGTTTGCACTGGGAGCGCTGTACAACTACACTCTTTTAAATATTGCTTGTACGGTAATTTTTCTCAGCCATCATTGCTTCATTTCTACTGATATTTAGGCAAAAAAGAGAGAAGATAAATAAAAAATTAAATAAGTGAGATATAAACAAAAACAACATAAAAGGTGATTAAAAATAGTGGCATTAATAAGTCTTTTTTTAGGCTTTTCAGGTATGAAGCTCACAGCTGTATGAAGAAATTAAACCTTGTCAGTTTAGTAAAACTCCATGATCATCACTGGTTAATTTATCAAAAACAGTAGGAATGGAACACTACATAGCAATGCTAAATGCATCACTTAGTTCAGCCTCGCTGTAATCTCTGAAGTCACGAATTTGTGTTTAGCTGGCATCATATGTTCTATGGTGTAGAAGCAAATGATTATATGAAAGCAATGCAAAAATCAATTTAGAACTGTTTTGATGAACCATTGGAGAAAACAGGCTCCATGTTAAGACAGTTGTAACAGAATCCACTGGTTTTGAGCAAAAGCACCTGCAAAATTTGTTAGTGTGAAATTAATTACATACATAAATGTCAGTGGTGGTGTCACAGGTTTTTAAGTACCAGGTCAGCTATTCAGTGAAGGAGGGACACATCCATGATCTGACCAGATGCTGTTTATTCATGGTGCCTCATGAACAAGCAGCAAGAAGAGCTCAGATCTTTAGTTTAGTACTCTTACCCCAGAGCAAGCCATGAATGTACCTCAGAACATGCCCAAGGAGCCATGAGAAAATGACACTTTTCTCCTGCCCTTGCTCTGATAAGCCAACAGAAGTGCCTGTCCTCTTTTTTCTTGTACTTCATCCAAGGATTCAGTTCACTTCCAACCTTCTTTCCTCATATAATTTATTGATGTCAGTGGCTGTAAAATTGCTAACTACTTTAAGCTTCTACAATTTTCAAAAAGACTACAGTCCTGTGTGCAAGATTATTCCCTTATGTACGTCCTCTGGAACTTAAATTGTGCTAGACCTAGTTTAGAAAGAAAAATGGGCCAAAGAACTGATAAAACTACAGAGAGTTTAGGTTGTCAAATTCTTTATAGTCCAGGGACAAACACTGTTAGAGAACTTGGAGCAACAAGGTGCCGAGACAGATTTAAGCCTTTCTAAGCAAACTTGGTCCTGATTTTCCACATATGCAACAGTTGGGTTAACTTTGAATTCACCAGCTCCAATTCCTCCCACTCTCCTTCTTTTTCCTTGAAGTTTCTTAAGTTTTATACCACTCTGCTCTGTATCACACTTGAATCTTAACCCAGCATTGTCTATTTCCTTCACATTTCTCAAACTCTTTTAAATGAGTCATTCTGAAACATTTTGCTGTGCTTCCTTGTCTTGCAAAGGTTGAATGTATTTTTTCCTACCTTTTGAAGCTTCAGTGTAATGTGAAGCACCAGGGGAGCCCTTCCAGCTTTTATTTTCTCTACAGGAGTCTGTGCTTAGTTTACTGTCTTTGCCGGAGACCACGTGAGCAGCAGAGTTCACAATTGACGTGAGAGGTTCGATTGTGCTCCCACTCTCAGCACAGGTAGAGCCAATGCATTTTTCATCACTGTGGCAGGGGTTTCTATGGGTCTTGTGATTATTGCAGGGTTCCTTATGGGAAATTCAATGAGAAGAGTCATGGGAGATGTTGGAAGACAATAAACATAGGGGCAGCTTTGAGGGGGTTGTTTTGGTTGTGGAAAAGAGAGATAATGACATTGAGAAAGAAGCAGTGGAATAAGAAAAAAGTAAAGAGAGAATAAAAGCCTCTTTTGAGGTTAGGTTCTCAGCAGGGAAGGAGGAGCTCAGTTTCAAAGTCATTGGGGCTTTTGCTGGAGCAAAAATAAGGAGGGGGAATAGGCAAATTTGAAGTGTGTATTTGGGGGACAGTGCCCCAGTGGTATGGTGAGGTGTGTAACCAGTGAGACAATAAAGAAATAAATAAAAGAAAAATGTGGCAAAAGGAAATAAATGTTTCCTGGAAACAGTGCTGAGATAAATAACACCCTTAAAATAGTAAAACTGTCAACACAGGGAAAAGGAGAAGACAAACAAAGTGGGAAAAGACAAAAATAAGAATGTCTATGCTGAAATGCATGTGGAGGAAAGGGGGCTCTGTATCCTCTGTTTTTTCTTAAGCTTCTATTAATATATGTAGTGAAGAGCTCTTATTTTTCCATTCACATGTTTCTTTGCACCTTTCCATTTAACTTTTCTATGTCTATATGTCATATGGCTTCCCCTCAAGGCCCTTCACCATCTTCGTTGTCCTCCTCTGGATGCTCTCTAATAGCTAGATATTTTTCTTATATTGTGGTGTGGTTACAGATGGGGTTTTCCCATTTCACATCACTCTGAGAGTTTCCAGAGAAGTTACAGCCTCTGCAGAGCACAGCTGCATCTCATGCCTCTCACGGTTTGCAGTGTGAGTTGATGATGGACAGTAGCTGATGGACATTGCCATCATTCTGATTCTCAGTTGTTAGAGAGGTTTCTTGTTTTCTTCAGCATATACCTCAGCATTTGACTTTTGACTGCTGCAGAGTCAAATCTTTCATTAAGACCTTTTGGAGATTTACAGACCATGGCCTAGGTCTAATGTGCCACCGCTGTGCAACATTTCCAGTGAAGACCTCCACTGTGCCATATCCTAGACAGACAAGGACTTTCAGTGGCTTTCAGGGAAAGGTTACAATTTCATCTCTTTCCCCAGGTGTTTGTCTGCAGGAATATGGAAGGATTGGATAGATGGGTACTGTGTTTATTTGGGGAAAATACTGTCTCTTCTGCCTCTGGGCTGAGAGGAAATACATTTGGCGATGCATTATTGTCAAACTATTTACATGCTGTCTGGAGAGAGTCTTGTACACAGGCTACTGTGTCTGTCTGTAAGAGGAATAAGCAGGTAAATGCTACAAAACCAGGATATGTAGCAAGAACTCCACTCTTCATTGACAAGGAAAGTGCAAGTGACATTTACTCAGGACTTCACAGTAGCTACTCACAAAATATTACACAGAGTGAGAAAAAACATCCCCTGAAGAAACAGATGAAGATGCATTCCTCAGGGATTCCTGTGTGATGAGACTTCAGGAGCAGTGATCAGCACTGGTAGCCAGTGTCCCAGGAGCAATAACTGTTCTTTTGCCCAAGGCACAGCCATCACAAACAGGTAGTTCTACCGCTCTAAAATTGTGATGGTGGGGGGAGGGAGATAGTTAAAGGCAAACTTTGACATTTGGAAATTAGTCATCCACCCTGTCTCCCTCCTGCTTTGCCTGCCTGTTTGGCAGCAGAGCTGGCTGGGGAAAATGTTTCTCTGATCACAGACGGCTTGGAAGCAATCTGGCAGACCTGCAGCTGGAGCGTGTCTCAGCATTACCTTCGATCAAAATTTTTCACTGAAGAATTCAACTTAGTGGCACAAAAAATAAAGGCCTGGGTTAACATTTTGTCCTTCTTGGCCTTGTCTTGCTTTTTCACCTGGATGGACCTCACACACCACTGAAGCACTGAAGTACTTTCAACAAGCTACTTACTAAAGAGCCACACCCCTGCCAGGACTAGTACCTGCCTCCCCGTTCAGTCACATCCCACAGTTCTCCAGGGCAACCAACTATATATTTAAGATAAATTAGTTTCAATCCCAAAATCTGGTTCATGTCCTTCTGTAGCAAAAATATGAACTTGAGCCTTGCCCTTTCTCAAGTTGTTGCCTACCTCGATGTGAAACACTGCCTTTGCAGAAATTCTCACTCCAGTTAATCTTTCCCTTCTTCCTTCTTGTCTCGCTGTTGTCTCTTTCCCATGCCACATGTGGCTCAGGCTCTTATCAGCAGTTCAGCCTCCTTCCCTGCAGAGATTGCAAGGCTTCAGCATGGAGAAAGCTGCTGCTGAGCGATGAGGAAGAGCTGAGAAGCAGTGAACCCATTGCAAATGTGAACTGGAGAGAGCTCTTCTCAGCTTTCTACTAGCTCTCAGACGTGCTTCTTGTCAATCTCACAGCTCTTGAGAGAAAGTGGCAGAAGAGCTCTTTTTGTCTCAGTTTGGCAAACAGTCAGGTTGGGCAGAGGGTTGCATAGCTACAGATTAAGAAACAAGTATCTGAAGACACTGGAATAAAGTTGAACAAAGCCAGATAGCGATTGTAAAAGAGACTTTAGACAGCTTTGCTCTGTGGTAACCTGAATCATCTTGAAAAACAGTTTTTTGCTATTGTTGCAATGGAATTGTTGGGTTTTGACAAATACGTCTTTCAATTGCTTCTTTCTTCTTCCTCTGACAGAGCTCTTTTTCAATAATTCAGATAAATTTTCTTTGCATTTCTGTACTGGAATAATTAAACTCTGAGATGATTCCCCTAAAGTGTGGGACCGTGTAGCATCAATCATGTCTGCCAGCAAGACTTTCCTCTGCTGTAGCAGCAGGAGTATTGGCTCAGCTGTGGTCTGTGAACAGAAGAGAAGCGACATAGGTAGGGAGACACAACAGCTTTCATTATCCCGAATGACAGAGCTGAAGAAAGGCTTTTTTATGAAAAGTTGCCCATTTTCTCCAGTAGTGTGTGCTGGTCTAATAAAAGACAGGATTTCTTCCTGCTAGACTCATGTGCTTACATTACCTGTGCTTTGATCAGAGCCTGCAGTTCACTTCAAACACTTCCCCAGGACATTTGCTTGTTTTAATCACCACTGGCTGTTTCTCTTGCTATCAAAGGAACTGGTTTTGCTAGCTTTTGATATGGGGAATGCACCACTTTGTAATCATAGTGATGTTTAGCTCATCCCTGAGCATCTGGAGAGAAGCCTTGAACAGCAGTTACTGGCTAAATGTAAAATACACATTTGTTAAGAGCTGTGCAGACTGCAGGTGGGGTGTATACGTATATAGTTTGTTGTGCTGTATTTGTATGGCTGGAAGGTGAAGGCAGCTACTTTTTTTATATTGCATATTCAAGGCATACTATCTTTGCTTTTTACACAGAGATGTAAAATTAAAAAAAATAATGCAGAATAAAAGTTTGAATTTCTTATTTTATAATAGCATTGAACTAAGAGAGTGTCTTAGAAAATCACCAGCCCACAGTTTAAGGCTTACAGTGATTGTCCTTGTAATTATTATTAGTGGATTGACAAATAGCTTAATAAAAATATTTGAAATTTTAAATATTAAAGAGGAAGAGGCAGGCAGAAGGTGAGTGCCTTTCTCAGCTCACTGGAGTCACCTCAGAAGCCTCTTTCAGAATTCCTGCAGACCTCATTCAGCCCTAATTCCCATACACACTCTCTGGGTTGTGATGGAAATAGAAAAGCAGAGTGTAATTACTCAGAGCTGATCAACGGGTATGTCTTATGTATATACACACACACAATAAATTTACATGTATAAAAAAAATTCTACTCCTAGTTTGAGACCTCTGTTGTCTCAAATAATGATTTCACTGATGATGTCACTACCCACAGGTAGTACTACAGGGTAACCTGTGTATCACCCAGTTTAAAGCTTAGAATGTCCAGTCTTTTGCCTGAGCAGGGGATGTTTGTCATGGCACTTGCACCTCAGGTTAGAATATTGGTAATTATGGCTTCCACTGAAGAAATGGTCAAACACACTGCCCTGCACAACAATCCACAGAGTGATCCCCCTGGTATTAGTGAGTTACTGAGAAGATGAGGAAGACCAAGGGAATGTTCCTCACCATGCAAGAGGCAATAGAGAGGAGCAGCGCCCACAGCACGGTCGGTGCTGGACCATCTCCATGTGCAGGGGGAAGGCTGCTCCTGGCCATGTGCCTGGGACAGACACCATGGGGAATCTGCAGTTTCACTGAACCCCTGGGCAAGACAGGGGCAGGGGAGATGCAGGGCTCTCCAAACAAGGGTGTGTGGCCTATTTCAGTGTATTTATAGTGTAGCTGTCCTTTGTTCTGCTCTGTGTCCTTGAGGGATGAGGGTCAATTACAGCTGAATGTCAGAGCTAATGTCACTACCCACAGCCATTGTATGGACAGACAGGGCTCACAGCAAGGTCAGAAATAACCTGATGCCCAGAAGCAGGTAGGACAGTGAGTGGGCTTGGGGACCTGTTGTGCAACCTGGCCTTTTGCCAAAAGAGTGATGCCCCCCACCCCATATCCTCCACTGCTGACGTCTGTAGTACCTCTTCAGCCCCTCACTGTGGGGGCTGCTGTCACTTCAGGAGGCAAAGTCCCTGGAGGCTGCATTTCCCACCTGAAGCCAGCTAGGCTTACTGAAGGGTGGGTGTCAGCTGTAACCTTGCCAGCTGCCTGGAGCGGCTCAGGCACAGCAGAGCAGTGGGCAGCAGGTCTCTGCCATCGAAGGCACCTGTCCCGTGGAGGGATGAGCCACCTTCTCCAGGTGGAATTAATCCCACCCTCCATTTCTTGCTTGTGGACCTGTGCTGTGCACAGATCATGAATGGAATCTCCGTTTTATCAAATCAGAAAAAAACCCAAAACCCAACACAGCAGCGTTTGAGCTGGAGATATTCCAAATATCAGGAACAAATAGAAATCATGGCACTCTCCCTTGTACAAAACATTTGTGGTGCTGCTAAATGAGCCGCTGCAAACGCTGTAATGTTTCACTGATTCTTTGTTACTCAGCAACTACTGTGGTGGTTGAGCATTGAATAGGCTAAGCTGAGTTTTCCTGGCAGGAAAATGATGAAAGAAAATTGAAATCTCAAGTTTTAGAAAGAGACTGATGAGACTGGTGGCACAGCAGGAGGGAAATGAGGATCAAATGGAAATCTGGCAGTCTGGAAAGGTTAGGTTCAAGCAGAGCTCCTGGAAAGAGGTCAAGGGTTCACCATCCTATTAGGAGGTCAAGGGAAGACAAGTCATGAAGCCAAATGGAACAATTTAAAGAAAGCTTGTGAGAGGGAGAGATGGGGATAGCACAATATACCACTAGGGCAGAGATCTGCCTGGCTTGGGACAAAGGAGTTTGGTAGGACTATAATCCTAATTTTCCCATTAAGTGAGTAATTACAGAAGACACCAACACATACTTTGAAGATACATAATTTCAGTTTGAAGTTAATATTGGTTGAATCTTAGGGGCACTATCTCAAGTTAAAAGGAAAAACAAATTAAAAATGAATGTTTGGCCAAATCCCTGCGGCTCTGCCTGTGCAGGCAGGACAGCTGATCTCCCCTGCTGCCATCAGGTAAGGGAGCACTCATGCACAGCCAAAAGCTGCTCCCTGTGAGCATTGATCCTGCTTGGAGCTGCCTCTCTTGAAAACCATGTGTGCTTATCCATGGGAGTAAAGCCTGGCTCTAACTAAGGGAATTATTTTAGTTTCTCCACCTGCTTTAACCTATTTTTCATCTTCCTCAAATTCTCCTTAGCATATTTTCCCCATCTGTTTTTTTGCCCTTCTATTTTGCACTTCCCCCTGTTCTCTTTATTGGCTGCTGTCAAAGATAAGGTGGACCAGGTTCATTGTTAGGCTGATGTGATATGGCCCTTTTTAATGTTCTTCCTTGGATAACAGCTTGCTAAAATTAAATCATTTAGTAAAAGGACAAATTAAATCATCAGCTGGGGTTCTTTTTTTACACAGGTAACATAAAAGGATGTCTGTTGCTTTTCATTTGAATTAAGGACATAATCATATGCACATTGCTGAAACTATTATGTTTCATAAAGTGGTCTTATTATTTTCTGCATATTTTTCTTTGTGTGTGGAGTCTTTTTCTTTCTATTAAATTGCATATCCATGGAGGATTTGGGGGCACTCAGCCAGTCAATCCAATTTGGAGTTGGATGGTAGTGGTAGTGGACTAAGTCCCTTATCTGTTCCCTTCAGCTGTTTTACTTCTCTGCTATTGATGGAAACATAAAATTAGAAGTGGAATCAACTCATAGGAAGCAAGAGCCCAGCAAGAGATTTAGGAGGGGAAAGTTGAGGAGGGAGATTCTGACTAATCTCTCTACAGCTGGGGTAATGTGCTGTCAGATTTGATTTTAAATACACATGCAGTAGATTGGGTATTTCACAAATATTGCCATTACATTTATCTTAGTGGGTATCAAAGCAAGTACAAGAAGAAAATTGAAATCAGATTGGTAATGGTTTGGGGTTTTTTTGAAGAAGTGTGATTTATGGAATTTTGGTTTTCCATGTGATGTGTACTGGGAAATTATGAAGCTTGAGGAATGAACAGGAGGCCTGAAAGTGGACTAGCCATTTCTACAGGATGATAGCAGAAGCATATAGAGGAACTAGCCAGTGTTATACTTGATTCTGTGCCTGCTTCATGTTATGTACAGCTACGATGAAAAAGAAGCTCAAGCACTTGAAATCAGTTCTTGCAATGGTGCAAAGTTTGATGTAAATAAGAATTAGAATATGATGGATCAGACTGCCTGGTGTGTCTCTGAGATTCATTGTTGTCTTTATACATTTTGATTCTGGACCAGAGAGGGCCTTGCATTTCTTCTACATTAGTGTTTCTCAGTAGGCTAAATGGTGACAGCTTCCTATATCCTCCCATGACCCAAGTTGCTGGAACTGCACAGGAGTTGAGTGATGCTGCTTTCTTTATCTTTATGCAAACCTCTCTGCCGTGCTTCTGTTTTGGGCTGGCATTTGGCAATGCACACTGACAAATAAAATCTCTTATGTAAGAGGTTCTCCCCAGGGAGGATCCTCTGCCTCTTGTATCACAGTGACGTGACAAAAAAACTTCATGGTCAGCATCATACTCCATCAGCAGGCAGGTCCTTCTGCAGTGAGGGCAGGAAAAGGACAACCTTTTGTGCCCGAGGGACAGAAAGGCACATCTTCCTTCTCTTGAATTAGGGCTTCTTGCCATAGCCAGTACAGAGGACTGATGGGATAAACCCCACTTCTTTGTAGGATTTGTGTTCTTCAGATCACCTCCCTCTTGTCCATCGGGCTGACTAAGGTACACCTAGGGCTGGATTTGGTGTGAGGTGGAACAAGCAGAGCTTTGGAAAGAGGAGGCTTCTGTTTGTGAGATGTAGTGGAAGAAAGGCAGAAAGGCTGCAAAGGAGTCAGGAGGGGAAGGCAAAGGGTCAAGGGAGTTTCTCTGCATCAAGGAGGAGTGAAGAGTAGAAAGGGAAAGCAACATAGGGAAGAGGGAAGCAGAATCTCTGTACTTACATAAGAATGTTAAAAGATGCTGTCATAGATGAAAGGAAAATGTAGCAAAGTGAAAGGTAGGACAAAAGTAGAATGAAGGTGTTTTTCAAGAAAATGTAGTACTAAATGAAGCAAAAGAATACATTGCTGGTGTGAGTGAGATTGATTTGGCTGACGTCTGTTTGCTCCCTCCTATCGGGCAGCTCAATGGACTACTGAAGAGAAGCACAAATAAATCTCCTGTAGGTGAGATGTGTTGATGAAAAAAGCTTGGCATCTTGTGGACTTGCCTCCCCACTTGACTGATGCTGATGTCTCAGACCACAGACATTGCTTTTTGGATCTTGTACAAATTCTTAGTGGTGCCGCAAGGGGCCATTCTTCCCCACTCCTGTCCTTGTGTAGGCACGGGCACCTCTGAATTAAGATGCTGATGCTGAAAGCTAATTGTCCTGGTCTGGATTAATGCTTGTGGCTGTCTGAAAGCTGCTGTAAGTGCAGGAGAGGTGATGAGAATGAGCAGCTCGGGGTGGTGTCAGAAAGAACCTTCCTGTACAGCAGTGACACAGATTTATGCCGGATTACACTGCTCATCTCATCACCAATTGGCAGGACATGAGTCTCCACACACATAAGAGGCCTCTCCTGTCTTGATTCTCTGGTGCATAGCAATGTGGGAGTTCTTGTTTACTTATCAGAAACAAAGCTGAAAAGAGAAGAGGAAGCTCAAGGCAGCCTCTCTTTCTGCAACCTGTCAATCTGGCCCCACTCACAGTTATAATCGCCTACATTTTTCTTGGCTCCTACCACTCACTTCTCTATGCAGCTTCCAAAGCCCCTCATTTTCGATGCTCCTGCATGGCATTGCAGTAGAGGAGAGGAGGCTTTGGTCAAACCCACTACAACTCCATGTAAATTTTGTCCCAATACCTACAGCAAAGTCAGGTTTGACAGGTCTCTTGGTCTTTCAAATACACATTCAGGGGTCACTTGAGCTATTTGCAGAACAGAAGAGCAATGCCCCTCTCTCAGGGTATTTATGGATCCTTCATTGCTCAGGGACATTTCCTTGCTAGTTGTCTCTTTGCTAAACAAGGACTGCACTTTTTGTCTTCTCTCACATAAAATAAAGTAGAAAAGTTACTTGGGCCTCCCTTCTTGATAAGAGGCCTTCTCAGCGAGTCATGCTTGGATCAGTTCCCTAGCCTGGTTCACAGAACACTGCCCACCCTTTCAGGGACAAAACTTCAGTACCCGCTTTAAGTAAGTATTTTCTTTACATGGGAAGAGATTGCCACATGGTGGCAATTTACCTCCACTTTACAGTTGTATATACAAGTGCCTAACCCAGTCTGGATTCTTTTCCAAATATGTTTTCCTTCAGCCCTTCCTTTGCTCTTAGGGGACACTGGTGCTTCAGTGTTGAGATTACTTCCTCCTTGGTTGGTTTTGTGGGGCTGTTTGTCCCTCTCGTCTATTCTCTTCCACTCCAAGATGCTTAGGATGCCATTACTTTTTCCTTCCTCCTTCCAGCCTTCCTACCAAAAGAGGACAGGTTTGGGTTTTATGTCATCTTCGACTACTTTCTTAAAAGCCATATAACTTTTCTTTACAGGCATGAATGGAATGAGTATTCCAATGGACCAATGGACAGCTGAGGGAGCAGGGAACCATGTCAGAACAGGTGCAGAGGGTGGAGGTAGACTGCAAGCCCGTGTTCAGAACAGCTTCCTGTGACCCTCTCTCCTCAAGCTGACCCAGGGAACAAATGAGGAGCCCTAACCCAGTCTCTGCTATAATACCATTGAAACCAAATCATCTCTAAGAGGAGTTTACACAGTTCCTTTTTAAGAAGGCAGCAAACATGACACCAGTGCACTATAACAATCATACTGTGAGGGTGTTAACCCTTTGGTGCTCTGAAATGTGTCCAAAGCAGGGCCCCATTCCCTGCTGTCCCCTCACACTCAGCTGCTCAGGGTCCAGCGCTTTCATCCTCTCGCCGCTCATAAGAGCAAGCACCCCTGAGGATGCTGCCTGCAATTTGAACTGTAGCATTGAAGGAAAAGTATCTCACTCCACTGCACAAAAACAGCAAGAAAGAGAGGATTCCTGGCACAGCAGGAAAGCCAAGATGTCCCTGGAGTAATTCCAAAGTCTTGCAGGCCGATGTATTTTTATAGCATCACAGAAACATGAGATCTTATTTTTCAAGAGTCCTGATTATAGGTTAGTGCTTTTTGTGCTTTATTTGTGCTTTCCTTTAGATATGAGTTTGTTAAGAAGTATTGGAACTGACATCTTACTGAAATTTGTCTGTGCCAACCTACCACTTTTTGTTGGCATATATGTTTAAAGCACTATTTTTCTCTGTATTGAATTTAATTTTTAGATGGCTGAAATAGATTTAGAAGTGTGAGTATTTGTTGAGCAATGTTTAGGATCAAGCACCATTTTGTGCCGTTTAACCATCATAACAAGCATATACTCAGCAGACATTCTGAATAAAATTCCATTGTATGGAATTGTCCTCAGCTGTGAATTATATTTTTCATGGCAGATTTACTCCTCTGACAGAAAATTCAATATGTAGTTGCATTTATATTACAGAGACAGTCTTCTGCTAGCCAACAGATAAGCTTTTTATCAGCAGCCATGCTTCTGTGGCACTCTTCTGGGCTGCTGCCAAGTTTTGCCATCCTTCCTTTCATGAGTAGATCAATGTGCAAATATTTGAAAACCCTAAATAATATAATAGCTACTTAAATGCATGCTTGAAAAAAAAAACAAACAAAAAAACCCCAACCAAAACAACACAGAACAAAATCAATTTGAAAACTCTTACACCTACATAATGTATTTAATGCACATCTACAAAACCTAGGAGCACGTCTGTCATTTCCAAAGCTCCCTGACCCATGGACCATATAGATCAGCTTCTCCTCTAAGCCACAGTGGAAGCCTACCTTCCTATGCCTCTTTGCCACATCACCCCTCAAACAGAACATGCAGTGCCAGCTTCAACCAGAGCTGGTAATGTTGGGAAGATGAGTCTGAGTAAAGAACATGATGAAGAATAAGTGGACAGGAGAGATTACATTGTGTTGTGGCTTTTGTTATGCATAGGAGCAATGCTGAGGCGTGTGGGGTGTACAGCCACAGGTTAGAATCCAGCCTCAAATTCAGAAATGACCAGCAGGTGCAGCTGTGCTCTCCACTGTGGTTGCTGAGGGCATCCTCTGCTGATAATTGAGCACCCTGCATTTTTAATGAGGCAGTGAAACTCTTCAGCTCACACTACTACACGAGCTGCTGGCTTTAGCCCAAGCGTATTTTATCTTCTCTGCTCTTGTGAACTATTTCTCTGTTCTCCTTCCTGCAACAGAATAAGAACCTGTGGAGATAAGATCCTTTATCTTCCCTGTTGCCCTTCAGATGAGAGGATGTGCACTTGGAGTGATGCCCATTAGCAGAAGCGATGTTGAAATACTGGAATCAAAAAATTTCCCATGGAGAAACAGCAGTGGTAAAAGAAGAAAACTGAATAAAGTGAAGTGACCTTGGTGGACAGCTCTTGAAGAAAAAAAAATGAGAAAAGAAAGAAGGAAAACTATCTGGAAATGGGTTAATGTGTGAGGGCAATATAAAATATAAAAAAGTACAAGAAAAGGAATGGGAAGTCAACAAAAATGTAACAACAAGCAGAATGAGAAAGCATAGGAAAGCAAAAGAGGCAAAAAATTAACCAAATCTCTTCTTACTGCAGGGTTGTACCACAACATTCCTTATGGTTTTTTTTTAAATGCAAAACTATAAATAAACCTCATTGGCTTTTTTTCCCACTGGGGGAATATAAAAGATGCTAATAAGTTCTTACAAAGGGTAAATAGTTTAAGGGGATGATACCAGTGATACTGAAGTATTAAAATGAAGATCAAAGCTAGGACTGCCAGTATAGGGTCTCTAGGTTATCCATACATTGCTACAGCTCTAACAGATTAAAGACTTGTTTGAACATAAAAGGATGATAAATCTTAGGGATCATAGCCATTATAATAATGCCTTGATTACAAAACATAGTAAAGGCCCAATTCTTTCAAGCTCAGGCCAAATAGTTCTTTATTAATATTTCTATTAAAATTAGTGAAATCATCTTGGTGGGATTTGTTCCTTATCAAGAGTAAGGCCTTCCAAGGTCAGTCTGCTCAAGCTCAGTGACATTTTTCAACTCTTAGACCAGTTTCCATTCTGACCTTTGGAGTAGTAAGGGTTACAGTGATGTTTTGACTGTTCACTTCCATCAGCAGCAGCGAAGTTGTATGGAGAAATACTTTTCATAAGGAGAAGAATCTGTGCTCTGCAATCTAAACTCAACAGAGCATTGGATGTTGTTAAAGTAGGTGCTACTTCCAGCAGCAGTCTCTGGTGCCATGGGAATGAAGGTTTCTGCACTGAAACTCTACAACTCCTAGACAACAAGGGCTGTTCTGGGACCAGTAGGACAGGTAAACAACTGTAGCTCTCCCTGCTCTCAAAGCCATAGCTCTCTTGGGCATTAACATTTCAGACTCACTCAGTAGGTTAAAAAAGACCCTGAATGATGTAAGTCGCACCACAGAACAGAGAAGAACAGATCACCTTTTTAATCTCCTTTTCAAATGTCACCTACTATAGTGATATGCTCTCAGGTCAAGTCAGGTTTGTGGAGAGAAGTTGTGTTTGAAAGAGAATGTGCTTCTGAGATGGTTTCTTTCTTGCCATTTCCTTTGTCAAGTGCCAATGACTCTAGGATTATACATAAACCCTAGAGTAGGATTGAGAATGAATATGTAAATTCAGTGTATTAGAATTCTGGAAGTTGCAAGCCCCAGCTCAAAAGCAGCTATAGAAGGTAGCTGGTCAGGTTTGGTGTTCATACCTTTACATTTGCACCATTTACCTGTCTGTGCATTTTTTCTCTGTTGTCTCAGACCTGATGATACTGTTTGGCACATCATTTTCACTGTCACCTTCCACAGGACAGGTAAAGAAAGAATTCAAGGGTCCATGAAAAAGCTACCATGCCTTCGTAATTACCTTTAGGATAATGGCTTCCAACATAGACTTGAAAATTGTGACTTGGATTCCCCTATAGGTCTGCAGGAAATCTTTAGAGTACATCCACTCCCGCTGCTGACAGATGGTAGAGCAGAGAACAGCGACTATGAAGATAACAGTATTTCACCCACGGGTTTTTCTTACTACGTAGTAGCATAAGGTAGCTGTGAAATCACTGATGTTTCAGAACACTTCTTGCAGTACTGAGGCTTCTGGCTGGAGGTAGCCCAAACACACAATCAGTCTAGAAACTCTCAAATCACAGCACAGTGGTCACATAAAAGAAGAAGATACCTAGCTGGATGCCAGGCAGGTTTATGTGGGTCACGGCTGTTTCTACTATGTGCCAGAGGCCAAACCTGCTGCTTTTCACCCTGAAATGAGGAACTACAAAGCTTTAAACCCCTCAGGGATTTTTTCCCCCTCAGCTTGTCATGAGAGAGGCTGGGCAAGATACAAAAAGGAACTGCAGAGAGGAAAGACTGAAAAAAACTGAAGCTTTAATATATTCCTACTCTCTGACCCCATTCCTCTTTTCTGTGCATCGACAGTTTTAATAATCTGGCAAAAGCAAAGCCTAAAACTAGAAAACCCTTTCCTAACCAGTGTGTGAAAAAAAACTCTTGTCATTTACAGAGAAATGTTATGATGAGACTCAATGGTTTTAATACGTTTTCTCTTCTTCTCTTTTTTTTTTTCTTTTTTTTTTTTTTTTTTTTTTTCTTTTCATTTGACAGCACTTAGTTACTGATTTTTAAAATAGCTGTTCTGCAGTTTGCATTTTAAAGCAAAAAATTAAAATCTGCTTATGGAATTGAGCTTAATATGGTAGTAGCCATTAAACAAGATAGACGAATAAAGTAATAAAAATCACCGAAATCACTCTTAACATATAATCTCTTCACTACGAAATAAACCATTGCTACATCCACGCTGAGCGAATGTAAACAAAACAGATGGGGGATTTCCCACTGCTGGTTTCTTTCTTCTAAGGTTGGTTATTTTCAGTTCATAAACTCTCAGCTGTCGTCCCCGATTTATCTTCGCAGCAGATTCCTGTTGGGGTCACAGGGCTGGGAGCTGGGGCGATGTGGCACGTCCCCCGCTCGCTGCGCTCTGCCGCCCCTGACAGCCACAGCGTTCGTAGCTGCGGTTCGTGCTTCCCTTTTAACCCCTTTCTCTTCCCGCCCTCTGTCAGTGCCTGACATTTTGTGCATCGTGCTCCAGCATGGTGAGAGCCGTGTGAAGGAGAGGCACGACCTTAGTTTGTTGGTGAGCATCCTCCTTGGATTCGGGGACGGCAGAGAGGGCTACTAGAGATAACCAAACCCCCGCCTGCGTTCAATTTGCTACCCAAACAATGGCTTTATTTAAAGATATGAAGACATCTCTGTGTAGAGATCCTTTAAAAAATGTTTTAGCCTTTCCCAGCCGTAGAGAGAGCGACCACTTTATTTGCTGGAAAGGGCTCTTCCCGCCCCTTCCTACTCCTGCCCTGCCTCCGCCCCCCGCCTCCCTTNGGAGGGAAGGGGGCGGGCGGCGGCCGCAAGCTGCCGACGTGCGCCGAGCACGACCTGGAGAACTACAGCATGTACTGCGTGAGCTGCCGCAGCCCCGTCTGCTACCAGTGCTTGGAGGAGGGCAAGCACAGCAAGCACGACGTGAAGGCTCTGGGAGCCATGTGGAAGCAGCACAAGGTGAGTCCCCACAGCCGGCTGGGAGCTGCGGTGATGCCCAGAGCTGGGCTGATGCTCAGCGCTGGGGTTTGTTGACCCCAATGCCCCAGTGTCGGGTTGCGGTTTGTGGGACATGAGTCTCTTCGTGTCCATCGTCCCCTCAGACTTTTCTCCTTTTGGAATGGTGCTCTTAGGTTTTTGGCCCTTCCCGACTTCCCGGTGACCCTGCAGCCTCTGCTCAGGGTTGGAAAACCCAGACTCCCTCTCATGGTGGCCTCACCCTGTCCAGTGAAATTCATCCAGGTCTCAGGCAGATAGCTGGAATTATCAAGTCCATCTGACTAACTTGTATGCCTTCCACAGGGTCCTTGGTCATCCTGTTCTCAAACATGCTCTGGCAGTGGCAGCAGGTACCTGTGAGGAGGCTGGGTGGTTGTCCCT